AAAAAAAAAAAAAAAAAAAAATTTTTAAAATTTTAAAAAATGAAAAGAAAGGGAATCAAAAATAACTCACTTGACCTCCGCCCAAAAATGTTGCAAATTTTTAGAACAGTAACTTATTCTCGAAAAACTTATTAGCAAGTCTAAAAAGGTAAAAAGTTAGCTAAAAATTGAAAATATCAAGTAAAAGAAAACGGTTACTTCCAACTCTCAATTAAAATTGCGTCAGTCAAAATAGTAACTGATCTAGTACTAGCAATTCAAACAGATATGATAAATTCAAAAACAAAAATCAATTCCATATTTCCTGCAGAACAAAACTTCTTATACAAGTGTAAAACAAGGTTTTAAACTCTTCAGAAATAATTCAAAGTCTAAAACATTTATTATTTTATGTCAAATTATAGTAATTAAGATGAGGACCTGAAGTTGTCGCTCCAGAATAGGCACAAGTTTTTCTGTTGAAAAACAAGGATTGTATTCAAACTAGTATATCGAATTGCAATGCATGCATCTATAAAGTATTTTAAACCTTTTCAAATTGCCCGTAAGAGACTTATCTAAGTCTGTAAATATAAAAACAAAACTTTCACAAATAATTTTTAAAAAAGCTTTATATAATCACTTGAAAAGAAAAAACAATAAACTTTTTTTTGAGAAAGAGCAAAACGTTTGGAAGAATTTCTGATCCACAAAATATTGAAAGCTCAAACACAGATACTGTTACAAAATGAAAAATTTGTGGTACGCAATAAGGTATAAGAAAGAAAACTTTTTTGGTTCCGCTGAGGTCCCAAGAACAGTCACTGCCTGAACACTATTTTCTCAAATCTATGCACTTCTGTTTTACGCCCTCTGCCCTTTTTTTTGAATGAATTCGTGAAATTTGGTTAAACTAACCTTAGTGATTAAAATAAAAATGGCTCTACTGTTCTGTACACTTTCTTTGGTAGAATCTTTCGATAATAAAAAGTAAAGTCTCTTAATTTTTTAGCATTTGGCTTATAGCTACAAAGCGCAAATAATGAGTTTGTGACAAAATCATCTTTCACATCTGCTGCAAAAATAGAAAATTTAAAAGAACGCCCTTTTCCACCAAAATTTCAGCGTTAGATATAGCACAAAAAAATAAAACTGCTCCAGGTTTTGCATGATTAAATAAGCTTGAAATCCTTTTCTGTTGCTTCTTTTATCTTTTATAGTGATTATTTAAAATTTTTTTAAAATTGTTTACAGCCCTTTTATCTTTATTTTTACAAACTCAAACAAGCTCTTTACAGGCGGTTTGAAAAATTATTAAACTTTTTCTCAAGTTGAGTCGCTTTACAATATATCATAGATGCGTGTATTGCGATGTAATTCACTTGTTTTGATGCAATCTTTGTTTTTCAACTGAAAAATTTGTGCCTATTAATGCCTCTTTTTCTGCCACTCAGCCTTTTTGATTTTTTGTCATCTTTTTATCTCTCTCGAGTTGCTCATAAGTTCTATAACAGTTGATTGCTATTTTGAATACTTGTAAAGTTTTTCAGACAGGGTTTCAAAAGATTGTTTTGAATCTCTTTTCTTTTCATCACTTCAAATTTCGTAAATTTCTTTTTTTTAAGGCATTATCCGCACTGTGGGCAAACAAGCAACTCCTCGTCAACTAATTGGAAAAGTATCAAAACTTTACTATTTAGGCTAAATTTCTCGTAGACAGAAACTACTAACAAAGAAGTCTCCTGACCCAATGAGTTGAGTAGCATAACTACATAAACAAAAGAACTCTTTAGAACAAGTGCGACTGGTATCTGTTTTCTCTATATTAACTCCTTTCATGAAAAACAGGATGGTTTAGCCACTATCGCTGTCAATGCAGAAAAATCTCTTTTTTAAGCACTGTTTAATAACTTGTCCCAGTTGTAAAAACTTTAAAACACCTTTAACTCAAAGTGATACTTAATTAATCAGGAAGACAGAAACTTCTTACATCTACGAGCAGCATGCTTGCATTGAAAAAAAAAAAGGTGAGGCATTATAACAAATTTAATAACGCCGACCCTTTTTCAAGTGCAAATTTTATAACCAAGACATTTTCTCAACTCAACGCAGATTTCTCGTCTGGTTAAATGCTGTTTTATATGAGTTTAGAATCTCGTGGCTTTTTGCCCTGCACATCTCCTTTTAGCTGCCAGATTCTCAATAACAGGTAAGTTAGTGTCGAATAAATATAACAACATCCACTTGCGACTGCAACAGGTATAACTTTAATGCGTGTTCTTCAACCCGCAGTACTAGATTTCCAAAAAAGAAAAAAAAAGAGAACAAATTCGAGAAGCTTCTATTCCAAACACCTTCCAGGCTGGCTCGTGTAAAGAGGATGCTCTCAGTTTAACTACATTATTTATTCTTCATTGGTCTAGTTCT